CCCCCCCCCCATCCTTTATGGAGTGCTCCCCATCCTGTTGTAGATTTTGATGCGGACACCCACACTTATTTTGCTGGAAGCTGTCACTGACATTTGCAGAATGATTTACCTATATGGCAGAGTTTAAACCAAGAAAGATGTTTTCTGGACTGTTGTGTTGGGATTTTGATAATGTGCATTTTTCTACTGTGTGACAAACTCAATGATATGTCCCATAGTAAGTACAGAGGCCTTTAGGCATGGCTTTACTGTACTTGTTTTAAATGCTACCTCTGAGTTATTTCTGTAATGGTATGTCTCAGATCTTGTAGATAATCCTTTGTAGTGATTTTTTTTCTAGACTCTTTTCAACAGGGAAGGATAGCCCCCATATGAGCAGGGAAGGGAGTTGGGGGGTGTTTGTTTTTGAGGTGGAAAGGAGGAATGTTAAATGCTGTGATCTGTATCTTTGGCTTCTAGGGGCTTGGAGAGAATTTAGCCCATGGTTCCTGGATAAGGCCTGTCACTGTAATCCAGCCCTAGAAGTTAATACTTATATTCTCATGGTGCTTTACTGTTGCTTGCAGACCATTGTTGCTATTAACAAGGATCCAGAAGCTCCAATTTTCCAAGTGGCAGACTACGGACTGGTGGCAGACTTATTTCAGGTGAGGCTAAACTTGGAGGTGTATGGGATAACTCTTTCTTTCAGAGAGATCTAATGCTAGCTTAGATTATATTATCTAGTAAGTGTTAAAGATGTCTGTGTGAGGGTGTTTGCTTTTGGTTGTTTTGTTAAAGAATTTGCTTTATGATTTCATTACTTCCATGCTCAAAGTTCAATCCCTGCCAGTAGAAGGTATCGTGTGTGTTGCCTGCCTCTATTCTAGTTTCCTGAATATGAACCATTTTGAGAAATAACTGCACGTAGATGCTTACATGTATTTTTAAGCTTCATCAAGTATGAAAGTACAGAGTTGGCAGGAGGAGTTCTTAATTTTTGCCTGGGCTTGCTGCCTTACTGATGCCCATGAGGAACTTGCAGTTCTTTCTGGGAAAACTGAACTGTGAGCTAGCCCATGTCCAAGTAAGTGCCTATGGCTCACGTGTGCGAGCTGCCTGCGCGTGCATCCGCATGTGTCACTGGCGGGAGCCTGTAGTGGCTCTGTGGAGAGGCATGGGCAGAAACTGCCAGCACTTAATGCCATTCCTGAACTAATGCCCGCTGCCTCAGTGGTGAGCACAGGCCTTTTCGTAAGCCGGAGACTAAGTCACATTCTGAAGAAACACCATGTAGACAATTTCCTTAATAAATTTTGTACGAATGCATTATTTCCACCTAATGGAAATGTAGCGCTCTTAAATAATTAAGAGGCTTTATTCAGCAGGAGAGAAGTGGGGAGTGCTGTGAGCTGGGGTGACCCACAGCCCCTGGAGTGGTGTGCTGGGCATGAGGGGTGGGAGGGTGGGGAGTGTAATTGTGGGGGTTGGGTGCTGCACTTGGAGAGTTTGGGGGCGGAGGGGGGGGGCTGTCAGAGGGAGAGCACCATGGCACTGGTGTTTGTTTGCAGGCGGTGCCAGAGATGACAGAGCTCCTGAAGAAGAAGTGAGTGATGGTGATGGACCCTGCACTGCACCCGGGGTGTGGAATAATGGCAAATAAAGGATGGGCCTGGAAAGAGGTGGGGTCACTGTGGTGTTGGTTTTTTTTTTTTTGTGGGCAATGGGATGGCACAGCAGAGTGGTGGTGGGATGGAAGAAAGGAAGACAGGGATGGAGGGAATGAAAGAGGGATACGAGGCAGGAGGCAGTATGCGTTTGTTTGTCAGTGTTTATTCCCATCCACACTCCCCTCCCAGCTGTGCTCAGCCCCTGGGAAGGGTTGGGCTGGGGGGCCAGGCTTGGGCCAAGCTGTCCAGCAGCTCTAATCCTGCCCCCAGGCACTGTGAGTCTGTGCTGGACCTGGACTGGTTGGAAGGTCTGTGGTGCTTCCAGGCACCATCAGGCTGGCCCTGGGCTGGCAGCAGGACAGGTCCATCATCTATCTGTCCCCCCAGGTGTGCAGGTCCATGCTGGCCTAAGACTGCTGGAAGGTCTGCTGTGCCCCAGAGGACACCGTAGGTCACAGCTGGCCCAGAGCTGGTGGTAGGGCAGGTCTGCCATGTGCCACAGGCACTGGCGGGCAGAGTCGATGCTGGCTCAGTCCCAGGCTGGTGGTTAGTGCAGATGGCAGAGGTTGTCTCCAGCACTGCCACCGTGCCTGTGGCAGTCTCATGACCCAGCGCAGCGAGCATGTCCCCACAGATGTCCCTGTTTCCCCAAGCTGTTGCTATGCCTCAGGAACCCTGCCTAGCTGTGGTTCTGGGGGCCCCAGCGCCCCATATTTCTCGTCGATTGTTGGGGCACCCTGGGGGCAGTCGAGGAGTGGCTTGAGCTGGAAGACATCAAGGCTCTCCTGGTTCCTGTGGTTGTAGATGCCAAGCCGGTGGCCCAGGTCAGGGCTGGCCCCCACTGAGCCCGCTGGGCTGGGCAGCTTCAGGTTGACAGGATCCAGCCCCTTCTGCGCCAGGCAGGCCTCTTCTGACAGGGAAGACAGCAGCTCCTGCACCATGGCATGGGCCACCTGCTGCCGGGTGGGCGCCAGGTCAGCCCGCAGGCCAGCACTGGCCTCCGCAGCGTCGTCGCAGGCTGTGCTGCAGTCCGGGGAGGAGCCCAGCGTCTGGCTGCTCTCACTGCAGGCCTGGGTGCCGGAGCTGACAGTTGACCGCGAGGCGCTGCCTGAGGTGATGCTGGCAGATGTCCCGGTGCTGCCCAGGCGCATCGGCACCTCCACAGTGAAGAGGTCGGAGGAGATGTTGGGGCAATGGACATCGATGGCAGCGGTGGTGACGACGCAGATGGCTGCCTCAGGGACGCCACTGTCTGCAGGGAAGAGAGCAGAGAGAGGCAGGTGAAGGGGGCCCAGCCAGTGCACCACAGCTGGGCTGGTCAAAGTGCAACAGTCGCCTTTCCAAAACCACTGCGCCTCTGCCCTCTCGAGCTTTGTATAGATCCAGTTCATACCTATTTAAAATAGCGATGTATGTACACCACCCCTCCTCCTTTATTTATACAGCTTTTTATATACACAGGTAGAGATATGCACCTCTTGCTGGAGAAGGAGATACATCACCACAGATACAAAACAGGCATACATATATAAATAATACCATATACCTCCAGATGTGTGTATGTATTCCATAAATACATGTATAGAGACATGTCAAAATTACATAGTGTCTAATGTTACACACAAACACACCCCTTTATATATAAATATATGTATGTATATTGTTCTGTACATGTGTGTAAGGAAGGAGAGAAAATGTATACGAAGTGGTGTACCTCTATGAAAACATATCTATACATGAATACATTCCCACATACCCCCAAACCCTTTATTTCTATAGCCCTATGTCTAGATATACATAGCTTTTATATAGCCATGTATATATAATGGTGTATAGAAAGGGCTACTAATATATAAATAGTATTGCAGACATCTATCTATGAATGTGTGTATATATACACACTCTCTCACACATAATCTTTATATATAGCCTTATTAGCCTTATCTGTATATATACATTTTCCTGTATCTATACATGTGGAACTCTAGCTATAATACATTATACCTATATATATACACACACTCTCTGGTACATAATTACCTATTGTCAAATGGAATAGACTAACACACACAAATACTTTCACACACCCTCTTTTCTATATAAAACTGTATCTATATATGTGTATGTTTGCATATATGGGGAATAAATAGGGAGGAATATACATACATAATACATTATACTTACACATGAACACCCCTTCTTTAGTTATATATATTGCTTTTATGCATAATGGGAATGTATACAGAGGGATACACAGCTATAAATAATACTGTATACCTATATATGTGTGTGCATGCACACACAAAGTATATATACTATGTAGGTATATATACCAATCACTCACATACACCAACATTCTTTACATATTCCCCATATCTACATGTTGTGTATATATATATATATATAAGGAACTGCATGCATATAATACATTGTACACACAGACATTTGATATATCTACTACATAGTCTCCCCCCCTTTAAATACATGTAATTAGCTATCTTTAAATAGACCACACACTCTCAGTCTCTCTCACACACCCATATACTTACCTTTATACATAAATAATTTTTTTTTTCACTGTGTGTATGTATTTGGGGAATGTGTATATAGGGATTATACATCTATAATACATTATACCTATATGTGAACACACATACATATCCATATTATATGTACTACACATTATACATGTAAAATTATATGTATATATACACACAGGTAACACCTTTTTCTGTATTTCCATGTATATTATGCGGATGTATATAGAGGAATACACATCTATAAATAATACCATATACATGTGTGCACATATATATATATTCTAGGCAATATATACGTGTGTATTTATATACTGTGTCTCATTTTATATATGTATATTTATATATAGAATTATCCATATAGATGGGGGTAGGAACCCTGCATATAATACATTATACTGACATCTGTACACACAGACATTTGATACAGATACTATATGACACATAGTTTTCCCTTCAAATACATATAATTATCTATCTTTAAACAGCATGCACTCTCTCACACACATACACTTACCTTTATATATAAATATATATTTCTCACTGTGTCTGTACATACATGGGGAATGTACACACAGGGATATACATATATAATACATCATACCTATACTTAGGTACACACACACATCCATATTATATACATATATATTATAAAATTATATGCATACATACACACACAGATACAACTTTTTATGTATCTCCATGTATATTATGGGGATTTATTTAGAGGGATGTACACCTATAAAGAATACCACATACCTGTATGTATATATGCATACACACATTCATACTGCATATAACACATAGATATATATACATACTCTCTCACACACCTCTATTTTACATACACATAATCTTTATATATAGATTTATCCATACAGATATGGGGGGGTATATGTGTGTGTGTATATATATAGTACATAATGTATATATAATGCTTACCTTTATATATACATATGTATATCTATCTCACTGTGTGTATATACATGAGCAATGTATATATAGGGATATATATGAAAAATACATTATACCTATATGTGAACACACACATATACATAAAATGATATGTATATACAGAGACTCGGTCACTCACACCTCCCCCTCCTTTTCACTTATCTTTTTAAACATACATACACCTAAGTATAGATTCATACATCTTTATGTATAGTCATATATATATAATGGGGATATAGAGAGCGATATACACAAATAAAATAATACTGTATACCTATATGTGTGTGCGCATACATTTTTTATAGATAATTTATGTGTGTATAGATAGTTTTTCACATGCATACACACAGATTTTATATACACACATATCTTTATATACACATTTATCCATATTTATAGAGAAAATGTGTGTGTATATGTAAGTATCCCCATTTATAACATACCTATATAGGTACACACATTTTATATATAATATAATACATACATGTGTGTGTATATATATATACACACTCATGTATTTTCTAATACATAACATATAAACTATATATGTATATACACAGACTCTCACATACCCACCCACACATATGTATCTTTACATGTATTTATAGATATATAAAATACCTATGTAGCTACACACACATATAAATAGCTTTATATACACATACCTATATATAGGGGGATGTATAGGGATATACCTATAAGATACCATATACCTATATATGTATATACACACAAACACACATATAGTTTATATATAAAATATATACATAATACAGATTAAAAAGATATTTATATACAGACACAGTGTCTCTCTCATAAACCCTTTAAAAATACATATAATTACCTATTTTTAAATAAAATACACACTCACCCCCCTCCCTCTTTTTAATCTTTTTTCTCTCTGTATATATGGGGAATTTATATATAGGGATATAGATACATAATATGTTATATCTATACATGATACAGACACAGATATATCCATATTATATGTAATACATATTATACATATTAAAAATATATGTATATACAGTCAACTGACACACTTTCTACATATATTACATAAGAAATATAAAATATGTATATACACAGTTTCTCTCACACATATATCTATATATATAAATATGTATTTGTATATCCCCACATACATGTATGGGGTAGACATCTACAATACATTATACCTATATATGTATACACACACAGATACATTATACTTAACTATAGCATACATATGAAATCTGCAAGTATATTGTCATACACACCCCCCTTTTAATATATATTATATATAACATACCTATGTATATGCAGTTATACACACATACACCCTCCTTTATGTATACTTATATAGGCTTACATATGTATACACACAGACATATATCTTTATATGTAATTATATACATGTATAAGTATATGGATATAGATACATAATACATACCTACACACACATTTATATTTCATAATACATATAACATATATATGCAATCACATGCACCTTTATAGATCTTT